TGATGCCGTCGTCCCTTGAATTTGAAACGGATATCAAAATTTTTGGGAGTACTTTACTTCGAGTCCCGGCGACATTGTCTAAAACGGACTCCTTATTTCTTTAAATTGTTTGCTCAAATGCAGCTGATGGTCCAGCTTTCGTTGAAACCATATTTTTCTGAAATGTGAAAGTGAACCTGTACTTTTAGAGATGGTGTCGGTAAAGATTCCGTTTACGGGACCTAGGTGCGTAGATTCCCTTACCCTTTGCCCTGTCAGGTGTTTATGCGAGTGGGAAACACATGTTGTTTCAATAATTTTGTAATACAGCAAAACTCCGGTAATCCGAACTAATTGGGGGTGTCGTCTGTTCGGATTCGAAATTATCCGAAAAAATGTACCGTACATGTGAAAATACATCTGTAGGATTTCCAGACAATGAAACGTAGCGTGCGATGTGAGAATGTAGCAACGTAGCCTAGCTATTACATCGCATCATCAAGCAGATTCAGTTCTGTAATGCAAAAGAAGATTACCAATTTCGCAAGTTCTTTTAAGTGAAAATGACTGCTACGTGATATACACCACAGATACAATGCAAAAAACGCTTCACATAGACAACTTGTGTTTCAATAATTAGTTGTTCAGTTCTACATTAATTCTAAAATATTTTCTTTACACTGCAAATAATTTTTCCTCCGTCCCGAATTTTGTTCGCATTATCCGACATTTCGGATTTGCGGGGTTCGGATTCGCGAGGTTGTACTGTATTACAAAACAGTTACAAGTAATTGGAGAAAGCGTGAGCTGTTGCAGTAGCACACATCCAAGTGCTCAGGCTCGTCCTGAAGGCCCGCGTCGCGTCGTGTGTCGTTGCGTCGTTGTCCGTGGCCGCCCGGATTGGGCCCACGCGCGTCCCGTTACGCGGCCGAGGCGCAGCGGGCGTCCCGCGACACGCGACACGGCGTTAGGCGCTGGGCGGCGGTGGAAGAGAACGCCTGACGCGGGTCTTACCGGCTGCGGAGCCTCGGGCCAGCGCCCATTGCCGCAGCAGCGACGAAGTTGCTGTATTCAGTCTCTGTCTGCAGACGAGTTTTAGCGGCCCGTTGCTCTGATTGCTAGTTTCCGTGGTGTCTCCCGTCAACACCAGACGAAAGTCGGAGCAGAACCCTAACAAACGGGCTACGGACAACACGCGCTCTTCAGTTCCTCTCCTCCCCCTTACACACACACACACACACACACACACACACACACACCGCAACGCCCGCCGCCGTGTAGGTCGGCGCCGAATCCCGCGTTCCAGCGAGGGAGCACGTGCGCCGCACTCGCATAACTAATGGCCATAGTAGTTGCCGCGCACAGAAGCACGATATGCTCGCCAGGATGTTACACTGGTTCAGGGTCCGTTTGCTTTTAGGATGTGGACTGTTTCGCATGTTCCAAGTTTCTGGCCGTGGAAAAGTAGAGCGTGTGCGCGAGCGATAATAGGGATCAGTCTATAGGAGCGATAATAGGCTCTTCAGTCCACTACCTGCAGACAAGGAATGAGCCGTGGGGACGCGAGTCAGACGGTCGCCGATGAGGGAACTCAAGGCCCTAAAAATGGGGACAATGGGAAATTTGGCTTCTGTGGTCCTTCGGCACACTAGACGCGGAAAATCGGACGAGATATACTGCCTCGTGTCGCCAACTTTGTCCTTTTGTTTTTGAATTTTAGCGCTTAAAAATAATAAAGCTTATACCAGCCATTTTGAAGACTGTAGTCGTTCTTTTATTGTGAATAAAATGATTCATAATTATAATGAAGCCAGTGCTGAAGAATAGTAAGCCACATAAGCACATAGGGAAAAGAGTTGTTTAAAAATAGTTTTCGTGACAATTGTTCACTGTAAACAACCTATCAGAGCAATATATCGCTAGAATTCTCCTCCGGAATTGGGATTCAATGAGACCCAGCCCTTAGCTAAAATCTTCCATCGCCGGGACCCCGAGTCCTACTACGTTCCGGTCGGAATCGCTATATGTGCCTCTTGAGCCAGCTCTTCCGTAACAATAGGAAACTTTGGACACGTGCAACCATTTGCCTTCGTGCCTGCCATTATTTATTATTAATTCGACATTATTAATTATTTTTTATTATTAATTCGACAGTAACCCACTGGAAATAGCTTTCCCGTCTTGTAGCGTGCTCGCGCCAGCATTTTCCTCCGCAAGCCTCCTGCCCCACCGCCCACTATCGT